GTCGTCGTTTTCGTCTTCCTCGCCGTCGTTCATTTCCACAGGCACCCGGAGCGCCCCGGATCGGCGGCACTGGCCGGAGGCCACTACAATACAATAGCGGCGCTCTATTGCACACAGTTGTTCCGCTGCACATAGGCGCCGTGGTGCACACAAGCGCAGTAGTGCACGCGGGCACTGTGGTGTAGAATGGTGCTGTGTTGCGCACGGCTGATGTAGTGTACGCAGGCGCTGTGGTAAAAATAAACGCTGTGGTGCCCGCAGGCACTATGGCACACACTGGCGCTGTGTTGCACGCGGCTGCTGGGGTGTACATAGGCGGCGCGGTGTACACAGGCGCTGCGGTGTACGCGGGCTCTGTGGTGTACCAAGGCGTTGTGGTGCAGATCGCCACCTGCATGCTGCTGTTACCTGTCCACAATAATTCCTAGGCGCTCCCAGACGCCGCCGGCGCGAAACGTGACGTCATCGACCCCCTCCACCCCCCCCCAAGATGGTCGCCGTCATCAGCCCAGAATAAAAAACAGGCTCCAGCCGCGTCTGCGCGCAGGACGACGATAAGCGACGAGCGACGAGCGACAACGACGACGACGACGACGACGACCACGACCACGACGACGACGTCGATAACGACGACCACGACGACGACGACGACGACCAGGACGACGACGACGAGGACGACGACGACGACGACGAACTGCGGACCAGACTTCTACGCGGATTCCTATGCGGACACCTAGGTTCGCTCGGCAGGGGGGGTCTGCTCAGCTTTGCAGGGAAGGGGGGTGCAGGGGAGGGGGGGGGGTCCGCTCTGAGGGGGAGCGCCATTATTGTATATAGAATGTTAGAAAGAGTCCTTGTGACAAAATGGAGCGCTTGTGGATTGCACAAAAAACAATTGCTTTACATCTAATTGGAGAGGGATCTTTTTGGAAAAAGGAAGGCCGCCGGAACCCACGAGTCTTCCCGAGTCCTGCGGCACCATTCTAATTCCTCCAATCCCAATCTGTGTCCAAAAGAGGCTCCATCTGAATTGGCCGTTCGGGAACCAAGTGGACTGATTCAATAAACCATTCTACGGTGCACGCTGTGATACGCACGTGCGCTGCAGCGCCGACCCGCACGACAGGGGGGAAGGGTGAGGGAGGAGGAGGAGGAGGAGGAGGAGGAGGAGGAGGAGGGAGAGGAAGAGGAGGAGGTGGAGGTGGAGGAGGAGGGAGGAGAGGGCCAAACGTCGCATTCTATTATCAAAACTTCCCTGGCGTGGCGTTTAGCTGTCCGTTGCAGATCATCATTTACATGCTCCTTCTACTTGTCCTGTGCACGCAGGCGTTGTGGTGTACACCAGCGATGCGTTACACGCGGATGCTGTGGTGTAGACGGGCAGTGTAGTGTGCACAGGCGCTGCGGTGCACGCAAGTTGCACATGGTTGCTGCGGTGTGCACATTCGCTGTGGTGTACACTGGCGTTGCATTGAACGCAAGCGCTGTGGTGTACACAGGCGCTGCGTTGCACACGGCTGTTGCGGTGTACGCGGGCTCTGTGGTGTACACGCGCGTTGTGGTGCAAGCGAGCATTGGTGTACACAGGCATTGCATTGTGGGGCAGATCGCCACCTACATGATGCTCGCGTTGTCGTCGTCGTAGTCGTCGTCGTCGTGGTCGTCGTTGTTGTCGTCCTCGTCGCTCGTCGCTCGTCGCTCTTCGCTCATCGTCGTCGTGCGCGCGGGCGCGGCTGTGGTGCCGGAGCCACACGGCGGGGGGGGCGTTACGTCATACCCCCCCCGCCCCCCCCCAATGACGCCCGTCATCGCCGAGAATAAAGAAACGCGCTCATGCTTGTCGCTGTGCTGTCGCTGCTGTCCAGCATCTCGCCAAGGATCGCCATTTTTGAAATAGCCGTGGAAGGTAGTTAGCTCGCCTTCCCTCCCAGCGCATTTGATTCCCATGACGTCCTCTTGAGTCGCATCCCCTCTGCTCCCCTCCCCTCCCCTCCCCTCCGCTCCCTCGCTCCCCTCCCCTCCCCTCCCATTTTTCGCTCTGCTCCCTCCCCTCCCTCGCTCCCCTCCGCTCCCTCGCTCCCCTCCCTCCCCTCCCTCGCTCCCCTCCCTCCCCTCTCTCGCTCCTCTCCCCTCCCCTCCTCTCCCGTCCCCTCCCTGGCTCCCCTCCCCTTCCCTCTCCTCCCCGCCCCTCCCCGCGCCGCTGGGCGCAGGTACCACGCAGAGATGCGCGTGCCCCAGTCGCCCGGTGGACAGGACGCGCCTGGGCGGGCCGCCCGCGCGTTGCCGCCTGCCGAGGGTGCAGGGGAGGAAGGGGAGGAGGGGGAAGGGGGAGGAAGGGGAGGGAGAAGGGGGGGGGAGGGGAGGAGGGGAGGAAGGGGAGGAAGGGGAGGGGAGGGGGAGGGGGAGGAAGGGAAGGGGGGGGGCAGCCGCCCGCGGGTGCTGGGGAGGAAGGGGAAAAAGGGGGAGGGGGAGGCGGCTGAGGAGGCAAAGTCGCACACTCGTGGGCGACCCCTCGGCCCGGGCGGGGTCGCTGGCAGAGCCACGGGGCCCATGTAGAAGCGGTTGCTTGAGACAAGTTTTGCCTGTCTGCTGGCGAACGCCCAGCGGCACCAGGCGGTAGCCACGCCTGTACGAAAAGAGAGTGAGAAGGTTGAGGTGGCCATGGTGGTGGGGATGGTGGTTGCGATGGTGGTGGTGATGACGACGATTGTGATGATACTGATGATGATGATGATGATGATGATGATGATGATGGTGATGGTGATGGTGATGGTGATGGTGATGGTGATGGTGATGGTGATGGTGATGAAGAAGGTGATGAAGCTGATGATGATGCTGGTGGTGGTGATGATGATGACGATGAGGCTTGGGGGGAGATGATGGCGGTGGTGGTGGTGGTGATAATGTTGGCGCTGATGCTGCTGATGTGTTTGATGATGGAGAGATTGATGGTGATGGCGGTGGTGGTGTTGATCATTATGATCGTGGCGGTGATGATGCTGGTGCCGACCATGAATGTGATATTGGTGATGTTGATTAAGATGATGGTGGTGCAAATTCAGGTGAGTTCTTATGCGGGTGTTGGTGGTTGATGCTGGTGGCTGGTGCTGCTGGTGATGGTGTTGCTGGTGATGTTGATGGTGACAGTGATCGCGGCGGCGGCGGTGAAAGCGGCGACGACGATTATGATGAGGAGGGCGATCGGTGAATGAGGCGTCCGTGGCGATTGTGGTAGTGGCGGTATTGGCGATTATTATATGCTTGCTGATGTTGGTGATGCTGAAGGTGGTGATGATACTTTTGCTGACGAGGATGAAGGTGATGACGGTTGTGATGATGAGGAGCTAGGTGGGGATGGATGTGACGATAGAGATGATGACGGTGCGTCTGCGTATGATGATGTTGATGTTCATGGTGATGGACGTGGTAATGATGACGGTGGTAACGTTGATGATGAAGATGGCGATGACGATGGCGGTGATGAGGTTGACGATGAAAGTGGTGGCGGTGTCGATACGGGTTCGGACCAGGATGAGGATGGGGATGACGAGGGGGGTGGGGATGATGGTGACGATGATGGTGGTTTTGACGATGGTGGTGGTTGTGATGACGTCGATGCATATTGCAGTGGTGGTGATGATGCTTCTGATGATGGTGATGAGGATGATGCTGACGTTGTCATTGAGGATCGAGAAGTTGTTGGTGGTGGTAGAGCTTGTGATGCCGTCGATGCGGTTGATGATGGTGTGGAGGTGTAGGAGGAGGCCGGTGAGGGTAAGTTATGATGTTGATGTTGATGGCACGTGCTGATGGCAGTTGCTACTTTTACGGGTGTTGATGGCAATTGTTTCGATGATGGTAACGGTGGCTGGGACGGCTGCGGCTGCGGCGAAGAGGGCGATGACGGAGAACACGATGAGGATGATGAGGATGAGAAGGTCGAGAAGGCGTTGTTGGCGATGGTTGTTGTGATGGTGACGACGATCATGATCTTGGCGATGACGATGCCATGGTGAGGATGATGCTGCTGATGATCAGCTAAATGGTGATGGTAAGGGTGAGCATATGTATGATGATCGGATGATAGGGATGATGATGCTCCTGATGATGTTGTTGATGGTGCTGCTAATGATGACGATTGTTACGGATATGGCGGCGGCGGTGGTATCGGCGGTGGCGACGACGACGAAAATGATGAAGATGATGATGATGATGATGATGATGATGATGATGATGATGATGATGATGATGATGATGATGATGATGATGATGATGATGATGAAGATGATGATGATGATGATGATGATGATGATAAAGATGATGATGATGATGATGATGATGATGATGATGATGATGATGATGATGACGATGCGGAGGAGGAGGAGGAGGATGATGATAATGAATGATGATGATGCTGCTGATGATGCTGATGGCGAAGTTGATGCCAGTAGTGATGACGATGCTGGCGCTGGTGTTTCATGTGATATGTATGCTGATGCTGTTGGGGATGAGTACTTTCATTTTGCTGATTCAGAAGATGCTGTTGCATATGTATACACATAGGATGGCCTAAGTATATGACGACGAGGAGAAGGAGCAGGAGGATGAGGAGGAGGAAGTAGACGAAGATCGGGAGGAGGAGGAGGAAAAGGGGGAATGTAGTGGGCGAAGAGGGCGGGCCAGGAGGAGGGTCAGGATGGTTAAGAGGAGGAAGCGGCGGAGGCGTACAGGGTTCCCTGCCTCGCCCTGTGCTCACGCTCGGCGCGCAAGACCACCGCGTGCATGTCGACCGGCTCCCTTGCCATTGCCGTCGTCAACATTGCCGTCGCTTTTTCTGCCGTCACTGCCGCCGCCGCCGTCGCCGTCAGCGGCATCCCCGCCCCCTGCGCGGCAGAGAGGCTTGCGAGGCCGCCGTCGCCCCCTGCCGTCGCCGTCAGCGCCGCCGCCGCCGCCGCCAGCGCCATCCTCCCCCCGCCCCCCCGCGCGGCAACCTCGGCTCGGGGCCGGAGCCGAGCTCACAGAGGCTAGCGGACAGAGGCGCGCCGCGGCGGCGCGGGGCAGAGGCTCTTCGGGCAGCGCGTCCCGATGGCGAAGGCCGGCTACGTCAAGCCGGAGCCGACTGGCCTGGCCGCGGGGCTTAACAAGGGTTTCATCACCACGCGCAGGATCCCCTTTGTGAGAGGAGGAGAAGGAGGAGGAGGAGGAAGAGGAGGAGGATGAGGAGGGCGAGGAGGAGGAGGAGGGACGAGGGGAAAGAGGATGGACGAAGTGGAGGAGGAGGGGGAGGAAGAGGATGAGGAGGACGAGGAGGAGGAGGAGGAGAGGAGGAGGAGGAGGAGGAGGAGGCGGAACGAGGAGGACGATGAGGAGAAGGATGAGGAGGCAGAGGGAGGAAGAAGGGAGGAGGCGAACTATGATGATGATGATGATGATGATGATGATGATGATGATGATGATGATGATGATGATGATGATGATGATGACATTGTGGCCGCGCGCTGCGTCGGACGGAGCTGGCTCGGACCCCTCAGTTACACTCAGTTCCCCTCAGTTACATTCAGTTTCCTTCAGTTACACTCAGTTTCCCTCAGTTACACGCAGTTTCCCTCAGTTACATGCAGTCTCCTTCAGTTACATTCAGTTTCCCTCAGTTACACTCAGTTTCCTTCAGTTTCCTTCAGTTACACTCAGTTTCCCTCAGTTGCGCTCAGTTTCCTCTCGGTTGCATTTAGCTTTCCTGGCACTGCGTTTGCGGCTTGGTATCCTACAACTGCAGCCTCTTTCTGACGCAAGGAGCTGAGACGAAACTGAGGGAAATCTGAGGGGGACAGCGGCGCCCCTTTGTCAACACCTCCCTTCGCCCCCTCCTTTCAGTTTCCCTCAGTTGCACACAGCTTCCTCTCGGTTGCATTTAGCTTTCCTGGCACTGCGTTTGCGGCCTTGGTATCTTACAACTGCAACCTCTTTCTGACGCAAGAAACTGAGACGAAACTGAGGGACAACTGAGGGGGACAGCGGTGCCCCTTTGCCAACACCTCCCTTCGCCCCCTCCTTTCCCATCTTCTTCCGCCATCCTTCCTCGCTGCTCTGCCTCCCTCGTGTTCCTTCCTCCCCCCTCCCTTATCCTGGTCCTGTCCCTGCTGTTGTTGCTCTTCCTCCCCCCTCGTGCTTCGGGGCGTCAGGCTTTCCGGAGTCGCGACCTCATGATGATGATGATGATGATGCTGATGATGATGATGTTGATGAGGATGATGATGATGATGACGATGCGTACGGCGATGATGAGAGGATGATGATTGTGACGGACGGCGGGGATGAACAACATGATGGGTTGAGGACAACGAGGAGGAGGAAGAGGAGGAGGAGGATGGTGGTGGTGGTGATGGTGAGGGGGATGAGGAGGAGAAGGAGGAGGAGGAGGAGGAGGAGGAGGAGGAGGAGGAGGCGTGTGGCGCCGCCGGTTCTGGCTCACCAGGCTGCGGCGCAGCATGCTAAGCACGATCCGGTCCCACAGCGCACAACGTCATTTCCTCGAGCCCGCCAGCCTCCCGCCCCGCGGAGCGGAGCGAGACGCTATCAGCTCGCCAAGGCATAGCGTGCCGCCAGGGGCGCCGCTGCGACGCGCTCAGCGAAAGTCCCTGGCCGTAGGCTTCCTGGCGGTTTTGGGCCTTGGCTGGGACTGCCAGCGCGTCCTTGTCCCGACGAGGCCAGGTTTTCCAGAAAGATTTTCGGCAGGCTGCAAGCGCCACGTGGGGCGTTTCAGAAAAGGCCTTGCCTTCAAGGGTCGAAGGAGTTGTCATATCTTCCTCGAAGGAAGGCAGCGAAAGGGCGGCGGAAGGTCGTCGGAAGTAGAAGATGTCCCCCCAAGAGATGAAAACAATTGGGGGTTCAAGGTCTCCGAGACCGCCCACATGAGAGGTCCGAGGGGCCGACAGGAACGGGAGGGGCCCAGATTTCCAGGCGCCGTCGAGGCATCATCGGGGGCGCCAGAGAGGGACTACAGGGCGGCAGTCGTCCGGGATTGCGTTTCCCATAGCTTAAAGTTCTGGGAAACGCTATTGTGGCTCATCGAGTGCGTTTTTTGAAGGAAAATTGCGTTTCCCATCACTCTCGAGGTGTAGGGCCTCGTCCAGGGAGGTTCTTTGCTGGCGTTTTCGTGGGTTCCCTGGGGTTTTGCCAGCCTCCGGATGCTCAGCCGCAGCCGCGCCTCGCCAGGAGCGGCCCCCCAGGTGTGCCCGGATCGTCCCGTGAGAGGCCGCCGGAGACCGGGTGTGGCGTCCTGAAAACACCAGGCGCCCGACAGGGGGTCAGGACTGTGACTTCTTCTTCGTCTTCTTCTTCCTCTTCCTCTTCTTCTTTTTCGTCTTCTTCTTCTTATTCCTCTTCTTCTTCTTCTTCTTCTTATTCTTTTTCCTATATTTACATTATTATTATTTTGTTATTCGTATTACTCGCCCTCTTCGTCATAACGCTGATGGTTACCATTGTTTCTTGTTATGTTGTATTTGGTATTGTTTTCTTGTTCTCAGGATTGCTCTTTGCATTTGTATTTGTACTCGCATTCGTATTCGCATTCCTAATCGTATCATCTGTATTTTTCTATAAGTATTATCAGTAGTTCTGATGTCTATGATCATGAGACCATGAGTATAATCATTATTTTCGTATAATCCGTATCATTCTTATTACTCTTATCATTATTATTGACATTATTATTATCCTTTTTGTTCTTCTTCTGCTTCTTTGTTCAACACGCTCCAAGGCCCCCGCTCGTCCGCACCCCATGCTTTTGGCCCCAGTGCGCACCACCCCCTCTTCCTGGACCCCCTGGGTCCGAGCAGATGGGGTTGGAGGATCGCGCCGCATCGTCGATGCATCGGCCTTGCGGCCCGATGTGGAGCTCGATTTTCTCCGCGCTGGCGTCGTCGATGCATCGCCGATGTCGCCGATGCATCGGCGACGTATCGCCGATGCATCGCCGATGTGTCGTCGAGGTTGTCTTGAAAAATGAAACCAGGATCGAGGACCGAGGATAGGATCGATGACCGAGGCGAGGATCGAGGACCGAGGTTCCAGGTTCGAATGCCTGCACTCCGATTCAGACTGATTGCGTCATGCCTTAACTCGGGTAGCTGAGGGAAACTGAGGGTAACTAGGTGTAACTAGGTGTAACTAGGTGTAACTAGGTGTAACTGGGCGTAACTGGGCGTAACTGGGCGTAACTAGGTGTAGCTAGGTGTAACTAGGTGTAACTAGGTGTAACTAGGTGTAACTAGGTGTAACTAGGTGTAACTAGGTGTAACTGGGTGTAACTATGTGTAACTAGGTGTAACTGGGTGTAGCCGGAAGCGCTCTCATGGCGTTTGCTGCGACGCTCGTTGCCGGGACACTGGATGATGATGATGATGATGATGATGATGATGATGATGATGATGATGATGATGATGATGATGATGATGATGATGATGATGATGATGATGGTGATGGTGATGGTGATGGTGATGATGATGATGATGTTGATGATGATTATTATTATTATGATGCTGAGGATGAGGATGAGGGCTGAGGCTGATGAGGATGATGATGATGATGATGATGATGATGAGGAGGAGGAGGAGGAGGAGGAGGAGGAGGAGGAGGTGGAGCAGGAGGAGGAGGAGCGGGAGCGACAAGTGTCGACGAGCGAAGACACGCAAGGGCCTGGACCAGCCCTTACCCATGACCCCTTGGTGCAGATCGTTTTCTGGCCTGGCCGGCGACCGGTAGGTTCATGCACGCGTCCCAGAGTCAAGGCGGGTTTGGCCATGTTTGATTACGCGTAAAAGTGCCTTCTCGCCAGAGTTACCTTTGGTGCGGGCCAACAGTGGTCTCCACCTGCACTGCCCAGCACGCTTGCAGTTGGCCCCTCCGTTGCCCCCTCATGCTGCGCACCACCACTCACTGTTGCCTAGGATCACGCTTTCGTGTAGCTTGCAGGTCGGGCCAGGTCGGATCGAGGTCCAAGGATCGACCTGCTTTGCGTGGCTCGGCCCTTCTCCAGGCGCCTGAATGATCTGTAGAGAAGTCCTTGCGGGCCTCTGCAGACTTCTTTGGACCTCCAGGAGCCTCCCGATACTTCCGGGGACCTCCTTCTACCCCTCTGAAGCACTGGTCCCAGCATCTGGCCCCGACCACCAGCCGGGAAGTATAGCATGGAGATGGGCCCAGCCAGGTCTGGTGTCGGCATGCACTCTCCATGTTGTTGTCTTCGTTGTGTTTTTCCTGCTGCTGATGCGCCTGCTGCTCCTGCTGCTCCTCCTCGTTCGTATTCTTGCTCCTCTCTGCCCCGGCTCCTCCCTGCCCTGCTCCTCCCTGCCCTGGTCCTCCTGCTCCTGCCCTCACTCCCTCCACTCCCGCACTCACTTCGCCCTCCACTCCCAGCACCTATTCCCCTGCTCCCTCCCTCCCTCCCCCCCCCCTCCAAGGACCCATTCCCTCCCTCAATCCCTCCGCCCTCTCTCCTTACTCCCTCTCCCTCCTGTCCTACTGCCTGCCCCCCTCCCTCCCAGGACCCTGAAGGCCAAGCCGTCCTACCGCATTGGCAGGAAGTCTCAGCGGGGCGCGCTGATCAAGGAGGTGGTGCGCGAGGTGGCGGGCTTCGCGCCCTACGAGCGCCGCATGATCGAGCTGCTGAGGCCGACAGGGGACAGCCAGACAGACACACCGCCCAGACTCAGGACGAGCGACATAGGTGCGGAAACAATAGGTCCAAATTCCAACAGCAGTTCTTGTTCATCCTGAACTGGGTTCGCTGTCGGCGTCGCCGCGGTCGTTTTTCCCATTCGGGACAGACGACCGCCTACCAAACAGCGGCCGGCGTCGGTTTTGGACAAAATTTGTTCTTGGGCATCGTACCCATTTGTTCCGTACCCCTTCTGGGCGTCCAAACAGATCTCCGACGTTTTGAACAACAATGAAGGTTGATATTATTCGTCTTTTTCGGCCTCCAGGGGTCGTCGTCGTCAAGAAACGGTTCCAGGATGTAAAGCCAGCCCCAGGGAAAGGGCCAGGATTTCCGGGGACAGCGTATTGAACAAACCGAGACATCGGATGTCTGGGCCCTTCGTTCGCTTTCACTCTCTTCGGCATCCTGCCGCGCCCTCGTCGCCACGGCTGGATTCGCCTCGGCACCCTGGTCAGAACACACCTTGGGAGGAGCTGTGGCATCGGCATCTGATCATCTGTTTGTTCCCCGAGCTGTGGCACATGAGCGACGCAAATAGACGGGTCGTCTGCGCTGACATTCGCGCGTGAGCTACCCGCGCCAGGTCGCGCGGAAGCGCCATCGTCTCCAGTGTGGCGTGCCGAGAGCTGGCGGCCCGCGCAAGCTGCCGCACAGGGTAGCCATGCCGTTTTGCGCAAGCCCCGCTCGTTCTCGTCGCCCAAGTGTCGTTCGCTCGTCCCCCTCGTCCTCTTTGTCGCCGCCGTCTGCCGCGGCTCCCCACACCTCGGGCGCGTCCTGGCGGGGAATCCCGGGCGAACCCCGCCAGGGCGACGAGGTCCCCCCGAGGGGGCCCCGGCAGATGAGAGCGAGGGAGGGGCAGTGGCATCGGCCAGAGGAGGGAACGGGACCGATGCCGCTACGGTCGAACCGAGGTATGAGATCGAGGTCTGTTCGGGGAGGGTGCCCTCTTCGTGTTTGTTGGGTGCTCTCGTGCATCCTGGGGGAGGGTACCCTCGAATGCTCTTCAGTTTGGGCCGGCGGAGGGTCTCATGTTCTTGAAGGGTGTTCTTCTGTCCCAGGTCAGCATTGTCTTTCCCCTTTTTGGACCTCCTGGGAGGCCCTCGCCGCAACCGCTGGGTTCGCGTCAGAACGCGCCCAGGGAGAGGTCCGGGGAGTAGCGGTATCGGTGCCTTTGGTTTCCCCGCTCGGTACTTTCCTGCGCCTCCCAGTTGCGCCAGCCGTCGCTCGCGGGCGTCCCCCGTCGCCGTGTCGCCGCCGTTCGTTCTCGCCCCTCACCCTCGTCGCCGTCCCTTGAGATCCGACGGTGCGAAAGAATTGCAGCACCGGGGAAATTCAAGGCCAGAGCAACAGACCCCATCTTTGTCAGGAGGTCAGGAGGGAAAGAAACACACAGACACAATGAATCGTCGATTTCCCAGAAAATATGGGGAAATATGGGAAGTGGGGGGGAAGACAGAAACCCTGAGAATATGCGAAACTGTGGGGAGTCTTTTTCTTTGTGTGTACTTCTTTGTGTGTCCTGGGGCCCCTTCGAGTTAGAGCCGGATCGAGCCGCAGTGGTTCCAGACGAGAGCGCCCGTCTTGCATGCCTCGCAACGCCCGGATCTCCGGGTCGCCCGCCCCTCGTCGTCTCTGGCGTGCTCTGTCGTCCGCGGTCGCCGCTCGTTCGTCGGCCGGCTCTCGGCCGGGGCCGGGACGAGGACGAGTCCGTTCCAGGGCATTCCAGAGCGTTACGGGACGCTCCCAGAGCGGTCCGCAGCGCTCCGAGAAGGCCGCGGCGCCCGAGACGTGCTCCGAGCCCGCGGATTACCAGAGAGTTCCGATTTCTGTCGGTCCGATTTGGGGGACGTCGTCGTCGTCGTCGTCGTCGTCGTCGTCGTCGTCGTCGAAGGGAAGGGGTGTCCCTAGAGATCCGAAGCTCCGAAGAAAAGATTGAGCGGGCGGTATTTGGCCGTTTTCGGCCTCCTTAAGCCCTCGCTTCGGGGCGCTTCCCAGCAGCTGCGCCGCCTCGTAGAGAGCTTTCTGGGGGGGCCCGGGTTGTCCCGAACGGAAAGCCAGGAGGCATCGAGGCGGGAAGGGACTACAGAGGGTATAAGTATCATGTTCGGGGCCACGAAGTCTCGGAGGCCCGCGCAGATTTCTTGGATCTGCGCTGGGCCCCCCTGGTTGATGGGTCTTGTGTCTTGACTGCCTTCGTCGGGTTCCTTGGTCTTGGTTCCTGGCTGCCTAACAACGCCAAGCAACGCCGAGCAACGCCAAGCACCGCTGGGCAATGCAAAGCAATGCAAAGCAATGCAAAGCAATGCAAAGCAGTGCCAAGCAGTGCCAAGCAACGCAACACACTGCACAAGTCAAGGCAACCCAATACGATGCAACACTGCCAACTGCCAAGCAATGCGAAGCACTTTGAAGCACTGCAAAGCAACACCAAGCCACTCAACTGAATGCACATCAATTCCTTCCTTAGCAGTTAAGGAGGAGGAGCAGGACGAGGACGAGAAGGAGGATGAGGGTGAGGAGGAGGAGGAGGAGGAGGAGCAGGACGAGGACGAGGACGAGAAGGAGGATGAGGGTGAGGAGGAGGAGCAGGAGGAGGAGGAGGAGGAGGAAGAGGAGATGGAGGAGGAGGAGGAGGAGGAGGAGGAGGAGGAGGAGTTAGAGGAGGAGTCTTGGTGGCAGCGTGCTTGGCTGGTGTAGTGATAGACGGCAGCCCAAGGCTTCTCTTCTTGTGCGCGGGTGCACGCGTTGGGCGTGAAGTGAGGGAGGGATCGCACGTCACGCGATCATCGAGCCGCGAAGCGCATCTGCGCACGCCGTGGCAGTGGTTGGCGTGCGGGGGAGGGAGGGGACGGGGAGTGGCGAGGAGGGGGGAGGGGAGGCGAGGGGTGCGGAGGGGAGTGGCCGTTCCCTTTCTTCTCCCTCCTTCCCTCGCCCTCTTGCTATTCTCCCCTCCCTTCCCGCCCCCCTCAAGTCAACTCCACTCCGCTCCCTCCCTCCTTTCCGCTTCCTTCCCTCTCTGCCCTCCGACCGCTTCCTCCCCCTCCTCTCCCCTTCCGCATTCCTTTTGCGAGGGGTGCGGAGGGGAGTGGCCGTTCCCTTTCTTCTCCCTCCTTCCCTCGCCCTCTTGCTATTCTCCCCTCCCTTCCCGCCCCCCTCAAGTCAACTCCACTCCGCTCCCTCCCTCCTTTCCGCTTCCTTCCCTCTCTGCCCTCCGACCGCTTCCTCCCCCTCCTCTCCCCTTCCGCATTCCTTTTGCTCTCCCCAGCTCCCCCGCCCCGTTCCCCTTTCCTCCACTTCCACAATTACACAATATGAACATACTCTCCCACTTCCCCTGATGGCGTCCCGAAGATATCCGACCCCCCCCGCGTATTGTTTTTTTACACCGGATTCCCGGGGAACTGGTTTTCGCCTGCGTTTTTTTTCAAAATGCTGCTCTCGCTGAGGTGCCGGCCTCATTTCTGCTCCCGAATCGTTCCGGATCGTGCTCCCGCTGCAGCGTGGGCCTCATTTTCGGATCGGTGTTTGGCCTCCGTCGTTCAGGATGGCGTTCTCGCCCCAGCGCGGGCCTCTTTCTCGCGCGCCCATCCGCCCGCCACCACCGCGCCGCACCACCACCACCACCACCACACCACCACACCACCACCACCACCACCACCACCACCACAACCACACCACACCACACCACCCACCACACACCACCACCAGCACCACCACCAGCACCACCATCACCACCACCACCACCACCACCACCACCAGCACCACCACCACCACCACCACCACCACCACAACCACGCACACACGCACGCACGCACGCACGCGCGCCACCACCCACTACGCACGCGCGCGCGGAGCCACAGGTCCGCTACGACACGCGTCCGCGGATAGAGAAAATCAGCGCCATGGTAAGGGATGGGAGGGAGGGGTAGGACTTCAGATATGACGCGAGCGCTCCTAGCTTGCCTCCCCCTCCTCCTTTCCCTCCCCTCCTTTCCCTCCCCTCCCCGCCTTCTGCCCTCCTTCCCTCCCTCGGTGCTCGTCCCCCTGCCTCCCCTTCCTTCTCACCTTCCCCCTCCATTCCTCGGGGACTGGGGAAGGCGGAGGAGGAAGAGGAAGAGGCAGAGGAGGATGAGGAGGAGGAGATGGATGAGAACGAGAAGGAGGAAAAGGAGGAGGAGGAAGAGGAGGAGGAAGAAGAAGAGGAAGAGGCGGACTCTAAGACGATACTCTTCCTTTGGGGTGGAAGGTCCCCAGGTGGCTGGACAACAATGGAGCAGCTACCATAATTTGGGCTTCGAGCCCTGGCGCACGTCGCTTGGCGCCCTCCAAACATGAGAGTAGGAATGCATGAAGGGCCACAGCCTCAACGGGGGACATATAGAAAAGATGAGATGGAAAGCAAGAGATGGGAAGCGAAAGGCATGCAACGGAAAAGCAAGATGCTTGGATCGGGTGGCGGACTACATACGGGAGGCAAGAGGCTGGATACGGGAGGCGGGGTGCCGGCGACGGGAGGCGAGATGCTTGGGACGGGAGGCGCGATGCATGAAGCGGAAGGCGGAATGCTGGGCGCGGGAGGCGAAATCGAAGCAAGAGACGAAGAGGCATATTCTCGATGCAGGGGACAGGATGTAACAGGGAGTCCATGCAGCGCGCTCATGGTAGGCTCGATTGTGGGGATATACCTCTTAGGCAGAATGAGATGGGAAGCCAGCGACCGGGGCGAGAAGCAAGGGACGGAGGTCAGGATGCTGGGATCGGGTGGCGCAAAATACAGGATGCTGGATACGGGAAGCGAGATGCTGGAACCAGGAGGCGAGAAGATTTAGACAGGAGGCGGGATGCGGGACCGTCAGACAACAGCGTGAAGACGAGCGCGGGCAGCAAAGCTGGAGACGGGAGGTGAGATGCAGGGGACGGAAGGCGAACGGGAGTGCCGGGATGCAAGATGCAGGGTGGAAACGAGAGAGAGAGAGAGAAGAGACAGTGGTGGAGGTGCAATGAGAAGACGCACGATCAAGCGGAATGCAGGGGAGGCGAGCTTCAAGAGAGAGGATCGATGGGATAGGAAGAGCCGTGTCAGGAGTGGGCAGAGCATGGAATGCTGGACGGCTGCACTGAGATCGGATGAAGCCATAACCAATGATGAACCAAGAAAGCCATGAGAGAAGCACATGGGCAACCTTGCCTGAAAACAAAACAAACTGAGCAAGACATGAATCTATAGCTGCGGCAAGAAGGGGATCGAGCGGCAAGATGGGAGCCGAGAGCAAAGATTAATAACACACATGGCCTGTTACAGTAGGGGAATACTGTTGGATGGTATGGGCAAAACATGAAACCGTGCGGGAGTGGGGAAGGCTCACCCCCGTACAGTCGTATCGGGGCGCTCCCCTGTGGAGGTACATACCTAGTCGAATTGCCTGTGTCGCCCAGGAGGCCTACTCCAGAGGGCTCGGGGGAGGTGCTCTTCGGAGACCACTGGTCTCTTTACAGGCGCCCCGTGCGTTCTCCCACGAATACCCAACTGGAGCCCAGCGCACCATTGGCACGGGGAAGATGAAGAGGAGGAGGAGGAGGAGGAGGAGGAGGAGGAGGAGGAGGAGGAGGAGGAGGAGTAGAAGGGGGCAGGAGGAGGATGAGGAGGAGAATGAAGAGGAGGATGAGGAAGAAGCGGAGAGGATGATGCTGCTGCTGATAATGCTGATGACGATGCTGCTGATGATTATGCTGCTGCTGCTGATGATGATGATCATGCTGATGATGATGATGATGATGATGATGATGCTGATGATGATGATGATGATGATGATGATGATGGTGATGATGATGATGATGATCACGATCGTGATGATGATGATGATGCTGATGCTGATGCTGATGGTGATGATGATGATGATGATGTTGATGATGATGATGATGATGATGATGATGATGATGATGATGATGCTGATGCTGATGATGATGATGATGATGCTGATGATGATGATGATGATGAGGATGATGATGATGATGATGATGATGCTGCTGATGCTGATGCTGATGCTGATGATGATGATGAGGATGAGGAGGAGGAGGAGAGGGAGGAGGAGGATGAGGAGCAGGAGGAGGAGGAGGAGGAGGAGGGGGAAGAGGAGTATGGAGAGGAAGGGGAGGAGGCGGAGGAGGAGGAAACAGACAAGTAGGAGGATGATGATGAGGAGGAGGAAGAGGAGGAGGCGGAGGAGGAGGAGGAGGAGGAGGAAGTTGAACGGTGGGGGTGAGATGAGAGGAGGAGGAGGTGGAGGAGGAGGAGGAAGGAGGAGGAGGAGAGGAGGAGGGAGGAGGGGGAGCAGGAGGAGGAGGAGGACGAGGCCCGGACCTTGCAAGAGGAGATGGAGGAGGAGGAGGAGGAGGAGGAGGAGGAGGAGGAGGAGGAGGAGGAGGAGGAGGGGGAGGGGGAGGGGGAGCAGGAGGAGGAGAAGAAGAGGAGGAAGAAGAGGAGGAAGAAGAGGAGGAGGAGAAGTTGGAGGAGCAGGAGGAGGAGGAGGAAGAGTAAGGATAGGAGGAGAAGAAGGAGGAGGAGAAGGAGGAGAGGAGGATGAGAAGGAGGAGGAGGAGGAGGAGGAGGAGGACGGGATCGTCGAGCGCGTCTTCCGCAGGGTCGGCTCTGCGGCCACGCTGAAGCGGGCGCTCAAGGTCGCGAAGAAGCGCCTGGGCACGCACAAGCGCGGCAAGAAGAAGAGGCCCAGGGCCGATATCTCCTTCTTCCCCTTTCATCCTCCCTCTCCTCTTTTCTCCTCTTTCCTCCTCTTCCTCCCGCCCTTCTTTTGATTTTGCCCAACTGCTCCTTCCTTCTCCCTTCTCCCTCTTCCTCTTCTCTTCTCTCTCTCTCTCCACCGTCCTCCCTTTCCTTCCTCTTCCCCTCCTCACCTTCCCCTCAACCCTTCGCCTACCTCCTACGTGCTCTCTCTCTCTCTCTCTCTCCCGTCTCTCTCTTGCTTCCTCCCTAGGACTCCGTCCTCCTCCCGCGCCATCCCTCCTCCCTCCGCCCCCCATCCGTTCCCCCCGGGTGCTGCCCATCGGACCGACGCCGCTTCCTCGCCCGGCCGCTTCGTTCGCTCGCTGCTCCCTTTCCGTGAGGGAGGGGGGCTTGGCATCGCTCGGACGTGTGCATTCTTGTTATCGGTGCGGGCCGTCGAGAAGCCTTCTGTCGGCGACTGCAATCGGTGCGGTTACGCTGGGGTGCGGTTTGCGAGTGGCTTTGTGGTGGCCTTTCCGGGACCTTTGTGAGAGACAATGTCATAACTGTCGTCGTTTCGAGCGACATTGTCATCCTCGATGTGTGCTCCATTGTACTAGAAGGAGCGACAGCGTCATGTGATTCGGGCGCATTGAGTGACAGTGAAATCCTTTTTCCGGGGGCGGGAAGGGCAGGCATGACGGGAGGCAAGCCGCACCCTGCGCACACCGCACCCGTTGTAGTCGCCGATCCCGGGCCACCTTGCGAGAAAAAAGGGCACGCACGGAGCCGACCAAGACGGGAAATGGGCGCCCGAGCGATGGCAAGGGGCAGCTCGCTGGCAGGCGCAGGGCCTCGATTTTCTTCTTCTTCTCCCCCGGCCCCGCGCGGCGAGGGACGAGATGGCGGAGGCGCTGGCGGCGCTCCGCAAGAAGGGCGCGTGAGCCCCGGGCCCTAGCCCCCCCCGCTCCTCGATCCTCGGACCGGGCCCCCTCGCCGAGGGAGTCGTAACACGGCGGTAGACCCCCAGCCTGACGTCGGGCCTGCCCCTCTTCAGGGGAAATACTGAAAGATTTTTTTTAGTATAAAAAAGAAACAAAAAAGGTCAGGGGACTATTGTTGGATTCTTTTTGAGCATTTGGGGAGTGTTTTTCGAGTGAAAAAGAATGTTGCCCAACATCCCCCTGTATGGGGCACAGGCCCGACCTAGCCCCAGCCCCAGCCTTACGTCGGGCCTGTCCCTCTCCAGGGGGAATATTCAAAAATAGCTACAAAATAATAGTCTGGGGACGATTTTCTGACTATTCTTGAGCATTTAGGGGGGTATTTGTTTAGTATTCCTTTTATCTTTTTGCCCGAACTCCCCCTGTAGGGGGACGATTTTTTGACTATTCTTAAGCATTTGGGGGGTATTTTTTTAGTATTCTTTTATTTTGTTTGCCCCAAATCCCCCTCTATGGGGGACAGGCCCGACTCAACCCCAGCCCCGGAGGCGCCGCCCCCCCCCCGAGAGAACATCGCCAGGGGTGTTCTTCTTTTGTCCGCGCGAGCGCCGCGGGTGGCCCTCGCCGGCGGCGCTCGGCGTTCGGGGGCGCCGCGTCGCGGGTTCTGTCTCCAGAGGAGGTCGTGAGGCGCGGAAGGCCCAGTCCCAGACATCGGGCGTCTCGAAAAAATCGAGACGGAGGTTTTTCATAGTTTTGGGCCTTTCGGGGCCCTCGCCGGGCCTCGGGGCCGTCAACAAAACGACTCGGGATGAGAAACGGGTCCCAGAGAAGTGGTCGGGAGGTCGGGAGCCCGCGTCTCGAAAAAATCGAGACGTCGAGGTTCTGCCTCGAGAGGAGGTAGTTGAGGAGAGGAACGAAAACACACAGACACAATGAATCCTCGATTCCCCCGAAAATGTAGGAAAATATGGGAAGGGGGGGAAGACAGAAGCCCAGAAAATATGGGAACATATGGGGAATATCTTTATTTGTGTGTATGTATTTGTGTGTCCTGGGGCCCCTTCAGTAGTGAGGCGCGGAAGGCCCAGAATCCGGCGCATCGAGGCGAGCCTGAGCGGCCCGTTGCTACCAGCCCGGAGCATATCGCTACCCCTGTGTTCGGCATCGCCTCACCACGATGCCAATCTTAGGGATTCCCCTATTTTTTTGGGGCGGATATCCCTAAGATCGTCATCGACTTCTGGCGTGCCAACCTGACGGGTAGGGATACGTTCGAGGCTGGCAACGTGGGTCGTCGTTTCTGTTGGCCTCTGGAGGCCGGCTTCGGGCGGCGGGGCCCGTCAAGAAACGCCTCCTCCTCCTCCTCCTCCTCCTCCTCCTCCTCCTCCTCCCCTCCTCCTCCTTCTCCTCCTCCCCCTCCTCCTCCTCCTTCCCCTCCTCCTCCTCCTCCTCCTTCTCCTCCTCCTCCTCCTCCTCAATATTTGGAAAGGTGGTGGGTAAGGCCGGGAGCCACCGCATCGAGCAAGGTCGAAGCGCCGGGCGTCTGAGAAGATGCCGATGTCGTTAATTTGTCCCTCGTTTTCATCTCTCTTTGGACATCCCGTGGTGTCAGAGACCCGAATCATCAGGGATGACTCGGGTCAGGGCTAACTCGGATTCTTTTTTCGGGAGTCCGAACCCGAGTTGCCCCGGGCCCGAGCTACCCCGGATAACTCGGGCGCCCAGTGGTGGACCCCATGTCGGGCCACGACCGGGGTCCGCCAGGGAGTCTCGGCCAGGTGAAGCGCCCAGGGGGTATCTTGGCTACGCGCACGAGTGGCCCGTCGTTGGAGTGAGCTTTGGTGCGGGCTCGCAGGGGTCCCCCCAAGTACTGGCCTGCGCGCTGAGATCTGCCCGCGGCCCCCCCTCCCAAGGCCGCGCACCAACGGTCACCCTTGCCTGGGGTTGCTCTTGCGCGTGGCCAGTAGTTCAAGCAGTGGCGAAGCGTCCCAGCTCGCCTATAGTCCCACCAAGCAATGTTCCAAGAGCCTTTTGTGGTTTCCACGAAATGTTCTTAGAACATTTCTGGCGGAGTCTGTCTTGTTTTATCACATCGGGTTCATTGTCTAAGAACATTGCTTTTGTTCTTAGAGCATTTTTGGGTTCTAAGAACATTTCGTGGTAGGGCTATAGAAATGCCGGGACGGTCGGTCCCTGCTCAAGTAGTATCAGTCTTTGCTGAATCTTTCCGCCAGGGTGGGGATGTAACCGTAGCCACGCCTTCAGGGATCGATCTTCGGGGGCCGCGGCAGGCGGTGACATGGACACATTCGGGTCCTGTTGGGGCAGATGTGTCCATATCCAGCGCGCCTGACGAGGTCCCCGAAGGGCGATCCCGCGGGCGATGGCTACGGAAGCGGTTGGCGTTGGAAAGGCAGCGTGCCATGTGGCGCCGCCAGCCCGCGTTTTGCACTCCATCTCCTACCTTTGGGGGATCGCGTGCACCGAGGAAGCCCTGGCGGGGGATATGGCGCGCACAGCGGGGGCGCTCTCGCGGGGACGCCGCACGCACTCCCTCCAACGCCTCGCACTCCTCGTGGGCGGCAAGCGTATAGATTCGTGTCCGCGGCCTCGCGGGTCCGGCCCCTGGGCCGCGGCCCCGAGGACCATGTCAGGCTGTGATTCGCAAATGATGGCCCACCCCCCCGGGGCTGTCCCGCGGGGCGCGGAACCATTTTTGTTCCATCACGCGTGCCAGGGGTCGTCGCGGGCGCCGCCGAGGGGATCGTGCACCCCCCTGCACGGCAGCCCCTGGAAGCCGCTGTAGGGACCATATCTCATGCTGACCAATGACGCGCCACAGTCGTCGTCGTCGTCGTCGTCGGCGTCGGCGTCGGCGTCGGCGTCGTCGTCGTCGTGGTCCCAGTCGTCGACCTGCTCCGCGCCTACTCGGCACCCCCCCGCGCCCCCCAGAGGGGCATCCGCAGTGCGCCGTCGTCGCCGCCGTCGTGGCGCTGTCGTCGTCGTCGATCCGTCGTCTGCCGTCGCCGTCGTGGTGGTTGTCGTCGTCGTCGTAGTCGTCGTCGTAGGATATTGTGGTGGAGAGGGGGGGGCGGAGCAGGAGAGGGACGAGCCCTTCCTGCCTGCCTTTGTCGCTCCTCCGCCCATTGTTCAGAGCGTGAATTACATACCCCGCTTTCGCTTCCAGGCAAAACCAAGTCATACCACGCGCCTCCTCGTCAAGCGGCCTGACCAGCGCAGGCCGTAGTTTGGCGTCGTTTGGTATCTCTTGGAAGCGAGGGTGGTCAAAAGCGAGGTAGGTTTGTTTGCGCCCGAACTGTCCTTTTCATTGTCTGTAGCCCTGTCGGCACCGCACGCCAGAGGAAGCGCCTCTTTCCCCCCCGCCAGGGCCCTCCTGGAGCCTTCCGCGGTTTGTCGGCTACTTTTTTTTTTTGATCCGCGGCTCGAGAGCGCACCCCTTCCGGTCGAAGTTAAGCAGGCCGCGCACAGTTGTCAGGTTTGTCGGCTATACGTAAGAGTGACCTTTCGCCGGAAAGACCTCTGGTGTGGGCCCATCGGGGCCCCCCCCCGGTCGCTGAACGCGATGCGTTAGCCGCGGCTTGCGCACTTGGTGGTGTCCCTGACCGCCCCCTCCCTTGGGCCGCGCACCAAAGTTCACTCTTGCCTACGGTCAGTCTTTCTTGCGTGGTAGCCGAGGTTGGCGGCACCCCCCGGGGGGGGGAGCCGGAGGCTTTGGGGGGGCCCGCGTCCGAGTGGGGCAGGGCTGCGCCTCCTGCGCGCGGGCTTCTTGCACACCATTCGAGGGCGCCCTGGCCGAGCAGCGTCGCGCCGCGAGAGGGGTGGTCGTCGTCGTCGTCGTCGTCGTCGCCGTCGTTGTCGTTGTCATCGTCGGCGTCGGCGTCGGCCTCGGCTTGGGCGTCGGCGTCGCCGTCGGCATCGGCGTGGGCGTCGGCGTGGGCGTCGGCGTCGGCGCCTGCATCGTTGTCGTCGGCGTCGAGGTCGGCGTCGGCGTCGGCGTCAGCGTCGCTTTCGCCGTCGTCGTCGTCGTCGGCGGCGGTGGCGGTGGCCTTTGAACGCCCTTCGGAGGGCTGCGGCTGCAGTCGGAGGCCCTCGGAGGCGCGAGGGCAAGAGTTGGCACCAGGGCCTTCGGGTCTGTGTTGCGGTCGAGGTTCTTCAGGCAGGCCGTCCAGGTCTCTACCTGCATGTCTGGGGGCCGTTTTGTAGCAACCTGGGAGGTCAAGGAGACGAGGTGGGGTGGGCGGTTGGGGCGGGCTGACGCAGTGAGCAGGGGGGAGGGGTAAGAGAGGGAGTCTGGGATGATGCTGATGCTGCTGATGGTGTTGTTGATATTGATGTTGATGTTGGTGTTGATGCTGCTGTTGTGGTTGAGACATTGGAGTTGATGTTGATGATGATGAGGGTGGTGATGATGATGATGATGAGGATGCTGATGATGATTCTGATGATGCTGATGACGTTGATGATGCCGATGATGGTGATGGTGATGCCGATGATGATGATGCCGATGATGCTGTTGCTGATGATGTTGATGCTCATGCTGATGCTGCTGATGATGATGCTGATGATGAGGATGATGCTGCTGATGATGATGAGGATGAGGATGATGCTGATGATGATGAGAATGAGGATGAAGATGATGATGAAGACTCTTTGCATTACAATTCTCAGTACTATTATGCTGCTGCTGATACAGATTATGATGCTGATGCTGATGCTGATGCTGATGATGATGCTGTTGTTGCTGATGGGGACGATGCTGATGATCATGATGGTGATGGTACTTTTGATGATGGTGATGATACTGGTGCTGATGATGCTGCTGATGATGACGATGGTGATGTCGATAGTGATGTTGATGTTGATGTTGATGTTGAGTTGTGGTTAAGACATTTGAGTTTATGTTTAGGTTGCTGATGCTGTGGATGTGATGTTGATTTCGATGATGATGATGGTGATTATGATGATGACGATGATGATGCTGATGATGATGATGATGATGATGATGCTGATGCTGATGCTGATGCTGATGATGATGATGAGGATGATGACGACGATAATGAGGATAATGATGATGGGGATGAGGATGATGATGATGATGATGCTGATGATGATGATGATGATGATGATGGTGATGATGATGATGATGATGATGATGATGATGATGATGCTGATGCTGTTGATGATGATGCTCATGCTCATGCCGATGTTGATGCTAATGCTAATGCTGATGAGGTTGTGTATGAGGAGGAAGCAGGAGGAAGACGGCACGGTTGGCGTGCGAGGGGGTGCACTGATCCTATCTCCCTTCCCCATTTCCTTCTTGACTCGTCCTCCCCCCTCCTCCACCCTTCTTCCCCCCGAATCCCCAACTCCTGTTGTTGCCCTGTTCCCCCCTCTTCCTCTATCCTTCTTCGTCTCCATTACTCCTCCTTCTGCCTTCCTCGTCCTTCATCCTTCCACCCCCTCCTGATGGATGGTCTGGAGGCGTGGGCGACCTTGGAGGTTAGGGGAGAGGAGCACCAAGTTATGGCTGCGCACTCGTTGTGCCCTGGATGCTCGAGGCCAAGCGCAGGTCACCATGGAGTGGACTGCGTCCCATGGTTCGCCTGGGACTCGAGGCCGCTCAGATCATGAGCGCCTTCTGGCCAGCGGGGATCCGCTGGCTGGCGAGGCGGCGGGCGAAACTGCCGAGGAGATCCTGGCAGCCATCGGCCACCCCGAACCACAGTCTGACGCGCGGGACGCAAGGGCGCCCTCGAGGGCGCGAAGTTATTCGCGCTTCGCGCTTCGCGCTTCGGCTCCGATTCCTCCTCATCCTCCCCTTCTCCCTTGGGAGGCGGCGCGAGAGCGCGAAGTTGGGAGCCCTTGCAATGTGCGGCGTGGTTTCCAAGAAGGGCCCGTAAAATGCGTCAGGCTCGGTCTGTGGGGCCCTTTTGGGCCTTGCTCTGGGGAGTTCCCAGGGGCAGCGCTGTGGCCACCCAGGGACCTGTCCGCGTGGGACGTGGGAGATATTGCGCCTGACCCATCCCATCCGTTGGGCTTCGGGTACGCACATCAATTGTTCTTCCCCAGGCAGTGCTTGCACTTAGGGGGCCTCACTTCTGTTCTAAGGAAGTGGGCTGGTGTGCCACTCTGACGGCTATGTTGCCGCCTCCCTCGATAGTTACACGGCGACCGTTAGAAAGAGAGTATGTGTGGGTACCCAGATCCCAAGTTATTCCAAGCGCGTACCTGACTCAATAATCGACATGTTTCTGGTGTGTGTTGCTATTCGTTTGGGCGGGCCCGAACCAAATCTACTTCACCCGCCATCGAACTTCATGGTTTCACCCACTTCTTCCGACTGGCGGGTACAGTCACATGATGAATGCGCGTCTTCTCTATATTTGGTGCGGGCAATATCTATATGTATCTATATTTGGTGCGTCTTGGACGTTCTTGGAAGGGGCGTCGCAAGGCCGAGGCGCACTGCATATTGACAAACATCGAGCCTCCAGGGGCTAGCTTTTGATCCGTATCCAGTGCGCCTCGGGTTCCTGGGGAAGGGAGCCCGAGACTCCAAACTGCAATGGATACGGACACAAGTCTTACCCGAATCCTGATTATGCCCGGAAGATGTTCGGCCCTCTCCGCGTATTCACACAGGCTTTCACACATATGTTTCTCGTATGCTTATGTTAAGGCCGATTGTTTTCGTTGTTTCGAAATGGTGCGGTCGCTGCAGCGCAGGCCTCATTTCCGGATCGGCTCTGAATGACGCTCTCTCTCTCTCTCTCGCTCTCTCTCTCTCTCTCTCTCTCCAGCGCGGGCCATTTTGCGGTATCCGAATTCATTTTCATCGTTGTCGCCCTCCTCGTTTCCCCTCCTCCGCCTTCCTCTGGTCCTCCTGCTCCTCCGACTCATTCCTCTCCAGCTCCTATCGTTGCTGTTCGTCCTCGTCCCCCTCCGTCCTGATCCTCGGGTTCGGATGTCAGAAATGGCGTGAGTGCACCTGGCTGGCCCCTCCCTCTCCATCCCCCCCCCTCCCTCCCGAGGCCCCAGCACCCGTCCAGCGTTAGGACGGGTGGCCACTGGGGCCAGGCGTGTAAGGAAGTGAGCTCTGGGTCCTTCGAAATCAACGGAGAGCGACCGCCTCCTTCCTTCCCTCCTTCTTCCCCCCCCCCCCCCCTCCCTCCCCCCCCCCTCCTCCTCCCTCCACCCCCACCCGCCCGCCGCCTCCCTCCTCAACCGCCCCCCTTCCTCCTCTCTCCCCCTCCCTCGCCCCGCCTCCATCCTCCTCCCTCCCCATCCCTCCGCTTTCCCCCTCCCCTTCCCTCCTCCCCTGCCTCCCCACCCCCTCCCCTTCCCCCCCGGGCCCGATCCTCCAGTCGGGTGGCGATGTATGGCCGCCGCCCCCGCGCGCGTACCTGGTGTCAGATCAGCTCGTTCGTCTGGGTGGGCGTCCCCAGGGGATGCCAATTTTGTTCACAACCCCCTCTCCACGGTCTTGTGCCGGACCAGCTCGTTCATGGGGGTGGTGTGCAAAAGTCGTGCTCCCATCCATGCGCCCTCCCCCAGCGTCTCCCTCCACCGCCTCCCTGCTCCACCGCCTCCCCCCCTCCCTCCTCGCCCTCCCCCCCCCTCTCTCGCCTCCCCCCCTCCCCTCCCTTCCCCCCCTCCTCCCTCCGCTTTCCCCCTCCCTCCTCCCCCCTCCCTGCCTGCCCCTTCCCCCCCCCGCTCCCCCCCCTCCCCCGACACCCTCCGGGCCCGCTCCTCCCGCGCCCTCCTCCCGCAGCGCCCCCGCGCGGCCGGCGCCCACGGCGGGCGCGGCGCCCGCGGGGGGCGGCGGGGCGCCGCGGCCGATGCCGCCGCCGCCGCGGGAGCCCCGCGGCCCGCGGCGCTCGGGGCGGCCCGGGGGGGCGGCGCCGAGCGCCAACGCGTGGGCCGAGTCTCTGGGCCTCCAGGCCGCGACAACGAGGGGGCTCCTCCTCCTCCTCCTCCTCCTCCTCCTCCTCTCCTTGTCCTCCTCCTTGTCCTCCTCCTCCTCCTCCTCCTCCTTCTTGTCCTCCTCCCCTCCTCCTCCTCCTCCTCCCCTCCTCCTCCTCCTCCTCCTCCTCCTCCTCCTCCTCCTCCTCCGTGTTCTCCTCCTTCTCCTCCTTGTCCTCTTCACCTCCTCCTCTTCCTCTTCCTCTTCCTCCTCCTCCTCCTCCTCCTCCTCCCTTTCTCCTGAGATCCTGGCGTTGCGATGTTTTTCGCACCAGGCGTTTTCGCACGGTTTCGGGCCCCAGGGCCCTCATATATCGATCTGGCTGACGCAGAACGATGGGGTCCGGGGCTCCGGTCGTGATTTGTTGCGATGTTGCATTTTTTGTGCTACGTCGGAGCTCAGGGTCTCTGAGCCAGTGTTGGGCCACCTCCGCGCATCAGCTGGCTCAAATCCTAGGGGGTGCAGTCAGACCGTGGTGTAAGAGCGAGGACTGTTCAGGGAGGGTATCCTCATGGTTTCCGTGTCAGTTCGGTGTTCTGTGTGTCTTGGCTGGCGGAGGGTCTTGTGTTCTCGAGGTCTGTTCTTCTGGTCTAGGTCCGGCTGGAAGTGGGCGGAGGCCAGTTGGCCCAGATCGCTGGCGTTCATAACCCCCTGGCCCCCTAGCACTCCCCGCGGAGATCCGAGCGACTAGGCCTAGGCCCATCCGAGCGAATAACACCCTGACTCGAGCAGATCGCACTCTCTCCTCCTCCTCCTCCTCCTCCTCCTCCTCCTCCTCCTCCTCCTCCTCCTCCTCCTCCTCCTCCTCCTCCTCCTCCTCCTCCTCCCCCCCCTCCTCCCAGCCAGAA